GGCGGAGCCACGAGGTCCTTACCTCCCAGCCCGGGGCCTGGCGGAGCCACGAGGTCCTTACCTCCCAGCCCGGGGCCCGGCGGAGCCACGAGGTCCTTACCTCTCTGACTCCGGCGTGTCTCCCGCGAGCCCCGGAGCTGCTGCAAGGCTAACAGGAGCCGCTCGGAGGAAGCCCCCTGCCGCTCTAATCCTCCCATCGCGTCCGGGGCCAGCGTCTCCCGCTCCCAGCCTTCCTCTTACTACCTGTGCAGCCATTTCAGGTCCCGTGATGCTAAATAAAAAACTAGACAGATCCTGACAATAGCTTCCGACCTCAAAACTCCTTCCTCTCTCGGGGAGTGTGGCCCAGCAGCAACGTGGGGGTTGGACGCTGGTTTCCCAGAGGACGGCACGAACGTCAGAGGCTGAGCCCCGGCAGCGCGGCCCCGGCGCTGGCTCTCAGGGCAACGTCTCCTCCCCAGAACGGGCTGCTGTCTGCCCTCCCCCATCTCTGTTCCTGGCTCCTCAGCATCCTTGCGGGGCACGCGGCCGACGGCCTCCTGGCCCGGAAGAGGCTCAGCTTAATCGCCATCCGGAAGCTGTTCACCACGCTGGGTAAGCAACGGCCCCGACGCCCCAGGCCCTTTGGGGCGCCCACCCCCGTGGCCAGGGTGCCCCTGACCGCGCCCTGTGGACGCCCCAGGCCTCCTCCTGCCCGCCCTGCTGGTCATGGGCCTGCTCTACCTGGGCTCCGGCTTCCGCGGCACCCTCTCTCTCCTGACGCTCACGAGCGCCACGCTCGGCTTCTGCACGGCAGGGATGATGATCAATCCCCTGGACATCGCTCCCAGGTGGGGCTTTAGAATATGTTTAATATTTTTATGGGGGGAAGGGGTTGTGAAGGCAAAAGTGAGGGGGGCTTACAAAAGGTGGAATGGGCCCTGTTCCCACCAAACCCCAGGCATTCTGCTGCTAATGTGAAAAGGGGAACAATAAATATTGGAGACAATGGGCAGTTTTTGCCCCAATCTGCACCTGTGGCTGCTCATAACTATAAATATCCCTCTTCACACATGAGAACATGCTCCCCAGCTCCCCAAAGGAGACGGCACAGCTCCAGCCCAGGGGCTCTGTGTCTGGGGACCCACAAACTCGCGCACACACCACACACTCCCTCCCGTGTCCACATGGAAACGCAGAGCGAGTGGCAATGGAACAGACCCAGGGAAATAAAACAGACAGGGGCCCCTTCGTCTCAGGAGAGGGGCGGCCTGGACACAGGGCACCTTGACTGGGGACATCACCCGGCGGGAGAGGCAGAGGCTCTCCACCCCGAGTGAAGTAATTTCTTGATTAGACACTGATTCTGCTTCCAAAGGGCAGGTCCTTGTGCTCTGGGGCTCAGGGACTGGACCCCTACTTTATCTCTCTCTCCCCGCGCTTCCCGGCCAATCACAGCTGCTTGCGAGGGGTCCCTGGGGCCGGTAGCTCTGGGCTGTGGGATGAGAGCAGGTGGACGGTCCTTCAATCTTGATTGACCCTGAACCCCTCCTATGACCAACACACGTCAGCCCTGAATTTCCCCGCGGCACCTGCAGACGGCCCATCTCAGGGCTTTCGCTCCAGGGCGGTGTCCTCTGCCCAGCATCGCATCGTTCGCCGCCAACGCCAACCTGACCGCGGTGCCACCAGGAGGCTACTCGCGACCACGGAGTCCGAGGAGTGGAAATGGGAAACGCGGGAAACCAACAGTTACCTTTCTTAACCTCATTTTAAACCAAATGAGGTGTGAGGTTCAGAGTACTTGACGCCCGTGTATTGTCTCTTTTTGTGCAGATATTACGGATTTCTTAAAGGACTCACCATTCTGATCGGAATGACGGGGGGACTGACCTCTTCCACGCTGGCTGGGATAATCCTCAACCAGGTAAAAACCGTCAGACACGGGCGACCGGCTACCGCCCTGGGTGACCTGTAGCTTCAGTTACGACGACACACGCAGGATGAGAGGTAACGCCAGGGACCAGCCATGAAGGAAGAGTTGCCACGGCAGCACTGGCATAAATCTGTGACCACTAAGAATCACCCCGCGCCCCGCACGCCACGCGGCTCGGGCGTAAACGGGCTTATCTGGAAGAACACCTACCACTCTCGTGGGCAGGCGGTTCCTCCGTGCACCTCGCCCCCCACAGCCTGGGCCCAGAAGAGAGTTGCAGTCACCACCGTCTCGGAGAGAGGGGCCTCCGGCACCAGGGTCCCCGCGCTTACAGGTCACCAAGCAGGACGTCACTGTCCCCGCCAAGCGAAGCTCCCTGGTCAGAGAGGTGGCCTCGGTAGAAAAGGCGAACCGGGGAGACCTGGGCGTGTTTCTCCCCCGAGCACAGAGCCCCCCCGTCTGTCCTCCCCCTGAACTCGCCCAGACCCGCTGAGCTGACCCCCAAACGTCGTCAGGAGACCCAACATCCCCGCTCATTTCCCGACAGAGAGAAGCAGGGCTCCAGGCCTGTCCACACCATCACCGCCCAGCGAGCGAACATGCCTGTCGCAGCCTTGGCCTCACGGGCAGAGGAAAAGCCAAACAGAGACTCTCAGGGCATTCGAAACACTCGACCAGTTTTCACGGGGCTTAAGGCCTGACTTCAAACTCTGTCGGTTCCAAATGCCAGAAGCCAAGAACTGAATTTCAGGGAGTCCACAGATGCCCAACAGAAGCAAATAAAATGTTTCCAGAGAAGCTCACCCTAAATTTATACTCCAGGATTTCCTCTTGCATGAAGTTTCAGTGAATACAATTTTACAGTGAATCGAAACGTGACAAAACGCTCAAAGAAGTACCACATCATGTGCAAGAAAGAGTAAAAATATCGCAGAATCAGATTCTCAGAGACACTGGAAACACGTGCATGGGCTTAAGAAATGAGAGGATTGAAAATATAAATAAGAAACAGATGATTTGACCACAAAACCCAAAAACACAAAGATAACCTCTGGCAATTAAAAATATAAAATTGAAATTAGACTTTCAGATTAAATACAGCTAAAAAGAATTAGTGAGGTTTCTGCTTCCGGAAGGGAAGACACAAATCATGATTATCTTTTTTGAGGGGAATTCTGACCTTTCTTGCTCCCTCTGTGTGTGTTTCCCCTGGTTTGTTAAGAGACCTGCATTGAGTTTGTATTAATTTTAATATTCTAAGTTTTACATGACACGAGCCCAATAACTTGTAATTCCTTTGCTCCTTCATCCCCCAGGATCCAGTGTCTTCCTGGTTTAAAATCTTCTTCCTGATGGCAGCTATTAACGTGACAAGCTTAGTGTTCTACCTTATATTTGCTAAAGCAGAAATCCAGGACTGGGCTACAGAAAAACAGCACACCCGCCTCTGAGGGTAAGGAGTGATCGGGTCATGGAGAGAGTTTGAAAGTGGGGGTGCAGGACAGACGGGAGCTGAGGATGAGCCCTGAGCAGACCACGGTGATGCTGAGATGGGGAACACGAGGGGAGCGGGTTTGGGGGACAAGGGGGACCACGCCGCGTCTGAAAGGATCTCACGTCCTGATGGAGACGGCGTGCAGCCCGCAGGGTAGACTGCTCCTGAATTCTGGGGAGGTTCTGGGGCTTGAGAGATAAATCTGGGAGCCCAGGCTTCCTAACATTTGGAGGAACTGGGAAGACGGCTGGAGAACGTGGGATCTCAGAGGAGACGCACAAAGGGTGGGATGAGGACCCGCGGGGAAATGCTCGCAAGGGGCCCAGTTACATGAGGTGTGAGGATTACTGGCGGGTTTGGCAAGACGGCCCCGACTGGGATGGTTTTCAAACGATGGAGACAAAGGGTCCGTCAGCATTCAGAAGGGAACCTACTCCTGAGCCTCGCTTCCCTAAACTCCGCGGGTGGTAAACAGAAGGGAAAACGTCTCTCTGTGGAATTATTTCAGCTGACCCATAAATAAGAACTGATTGACGCAGACTATCCCCATTTTGCAAACTCCAGTGAATTCAGGGACCCGGGTGTTGTGCCTCAATGGCTGTTAACATCACAAACACTGGAAAGTTACAGACACAATAAATTCAGGCAGAAAGTTTCCTGATGAACCTATTCATACAGAAATACATTTCCTCACATTAAACAACAATAACCAGTTAGCAAATGTATTAAGATAAATGACCTGAATCGTGGTTGGAGGGAGATTGGATAAGACCAGTTAAAAATTAACTCGGCACAGCCAGTACCAGGAGCTTCCGGGAGGGTGCGCTCGCAGCTCCCCGCGGCGCATCTACAGCCCAGGCTGCAGACCATAAAATGCAAACATGGATCTGGAATTAAACGTATCCTACTCGTAGGTAATAAATTTTGTGTAAGTGACCAGAATATAACCAGCTATTGAAAAATATAGGCGTTTAAGTATTTTCATATAGAAATGACCGCAGCTGACCTTCTGAGTAAGCTCATAACAGGCTTTGGCAAGGGCTCACCTCTATTTCCCAGGTACAGAGCTGGCTGCAGTGATGCCATCCATCCTGTTCGTTCATTCAGGCCCTATAAGTTTCACTCGTTTCTATCTGACCTATATTAAATACTAAAAGTATACTATAGTTTTCCATTATTGTTACTTCTATTGATTTTTATGTCCAAGCAGTTAATATCAAGATTTTGACAAGTATATCTTAATAGGAAATTTAGTTTTGATTTTGTAAAATCATCAGTCTTTCCCATTTTATGATTTTTACTGCTGGCAGGAAAGTGGCCTTGCGCCTCACCGGACCCAGCCTGGGGACTGTCTACCGGAGAAGTCACCCGCAGGAGCTTTCTCTGCAGCTTCACCCAGAGGCCGTCCCAGCACCTGAGGGTCCCTGCACAGCCACACTCCAACGAACCGACTCCGGAGGCACCTGTCCCACTCGACAGGCCTAATGCACCCGAGGGGCCCAGCACCCGTCTCCGACCTCGGGCTCTGATCAGGAAGAGGAGCTGCTGACACCTCCAGGTAGCTGCTCCCGCCCACAAGCCCGGACCAGGCCACTGTCAGCCTTAAATACTGAACGTTACTGAGCACAATCCTTATAAACCTACTTTGCAACCGCCCCAGGCATCTTGTTCTTGGACACCGATCATTCTGACAGTGACCACGCCGGCCAGCTCCCTTGTGTTTTGCTTACTTTGAGTCACTAACTATTGTCACTAGGCGATGTCAAGGATGTCACCCTCACCCAGGCGCGGAAAGATAATTCCCCGACCGAAATCCCAGCCCCTCGCAACTCCTGCAAACCTAACGTGTTGCTGTGCAGCAGCCCTGAGCCCCGGCACCAGCACGGTTTCCGTGGCCCAGGGGTACCCGCGGGTGCTGTGCTTTTAACAAGGCCAACGCCCCCCAGCATTCGCGACCGTGCTCCTCGGCCCGTTCTCACCAACCCAGCCCAGCCCTGTGCCCAGTCCCTGCCCCGCCCCTCACGCCACTGCCCAGGTAACCGCACCGCGCCTACACCGAAGGCAGCGCTAAGCCGCCTTGCGGGGCCTGACAGCTCAGGACCGACACAGGCCCAGAACCACGGCAACGCCTCAGGTCCACCTAAGGGTCCGAAAGCCCATAAAGCGGGGGGAAAGCGCTGTAAGCCGCCGAAAAGCTGGCTTATATACACAGCAGTCCCCGCCCCGTCCCTGATCGGTTCATCCTCATGCAAATGAGGATGCCAAATCTTACAAATTTGATTGGCCCAAAAGGCACTCTTCTGATTGGTTAGAATAGAGATGTTCTGATTGGTCAGAGCCGCCCAGCTCAGCTTGGATGAGAGGAGCCTCCCTCCGATTGGATAAAGCAGGGTCCAGGAAACCGTTATAATGGTTGGTTCGGCCACTAGACGCGCAGACCCGGCGGGGGCTCGGCTGGGCGCGGGGTGTCAGTGCGCAGGCGCCTCCTCCATGTGCGGTTTTGGGGGGTGGCCCCGGGGCAGGAGCGGCTGCTGTGCCCCGCTGGTCTTATCCGAGCGCAGTTAGACCCCAGGAGCCTTTCCTGGTGCCCGGGTCACGACGGGGTGGTCGGGTTTCCTCGCTTGGCTTCCCCGCTCTGCGGGCCCAGGGCCGTGCCCTGTGCGCCCCGCGGCTCCTGCTGTCCCGGGCGGGTCTTCACTGGCAGCTCGGCGCCCACCTTCTGGGTGCTGGGGCTCAATCCTTGTGACCCTCAGGCCCCCCACCCATGGCCCTGGCTTCCTCTCGCTTTGGTGAGAAACTGTCATCGGGCCTCCGATGCTTTTACCAGGACAACTAGAGATTTGTTTCTGCGCTCACAGCGCTGACGGTGTTGGGTTTCTACGCCCGGCAGGTCTCCGAGTCTCTAGACACCCGCTGGGTGTCCTACAATTTAATTCATTCGACACCCACTACCCAGAGTTGGTCCAGACTCCACGGGTAACGGTTCAGTCCCACAAGACTGCCCTGCTGCCGGCACGTTCCCACTTCTTTCTGACTTAGACACAACTAGGGGTTCCCACGACCCCCTCCTCAGGTTTGATGATTTGCTAGAATGACACAGAACTTAGGAAAAACAGTTTACTTACTATTATCAGTTTGTTATAAAGGATGTAACTTAGAAACAGCCAAATGGAAAAGATGCACAGGGCAGGTGTGGGAAGAGACCAGCGCGTTGGTGCCCTCCTGGGGGCACCACCCTCTCAGCACCTCGGTGAGCTCACCAGCCTGGATGTTCTCAGAACCTGTCATTTAAGGTTTTTATAGAAATTTTATTGCATAAGCATGATCGTTAAGTAAATCATGTTGAATAAATCTCCAGCCCTTCTCCCCTCCTAGAAGGTAGGACCATGGAGCTGAAAGCCCCAACCTTCTAACCATCCCTTGGTCTTTCTGGCAACCAGGCCCCACCCCGAAGCTCTCCAGGGCCCCGGCTGCCAGCCTTCTCACCTGCACACCAAAAAGACAGGCGTCACTGCAGAAATTCCAAGGGTCTTAGCAGCTTTTGTGACAGGAATGAGGGACTAAGACCAAATATTCTAACAAGAGATTCCTATTATCCCATCACTTGGGAAATGACAAGAGTTTTAGGATTTCTGTGCCAGAAACTGGGGCAGAGATCAAATATGCATGATTATGTCACAGTAACAGCAGAAAGAGTGAGAAGCACAGAAATTCAGACACACCTACGCTTTCAGGAGCTCACAGGTAAATAATGGGTCTCCTTTCCCCCTCCCCAGTAAAATCTCCAGGCAGAACCTTCAGGGTTGCATAGCCAAGGCCTCTGAGAAGATACTAGAAACAGTCCAGTGAGAGCACACAGGGGAATGTCCATGAGGGCAAATGACAGCACAGGAGCACCAGGGCCTAGGGCACGTCGCTGCTTACATGCAGGTGAGGGTCTGCTCTGAAGCCCAGTCCTGCACCTCTGCTTGGCTGAAGATGAGGTAGAAGACCAGACCTGATATGTTAACAGCTGCTGAAAGCAAGAAGACATTTCTCCAGCCAAACTCTGAATCCTGGAGACAGGAAACTACAGGTTATTGATCAGAGCGGGAACTTTTGTTTCATCCCCTGAGTGCCCTGGCTGGCACGTGCCCAGGGTCGATGCGTATTTGTGGAACCAACAAATGAATGACAAGGGAGACAGGTCAGCTTGAAAATGTCCATGTGAAACCACCATTTCCTGACTGTGTCAGTCAGTGGCTGAAAGGGAACTGAGGCTTCAAATGGCAAAGGGCGTGATGGCAGAAAGAACACCCTTCCCTTGTTGGAGTCCATCCTCCTGACGTCCTGGTGGGAAACCACGGGGAACTTAAAGAACGACACTCGTGGGGACGTCACGGATGTCTTTCTTCACCTGTAGGTTCTTAGGAAATGCTCAAGGCATTGTTCTGACAACTTTACATGCGTCTCCCAGGATGGAAGGCTGTTCAGATGCAAACGCCCAGGTAAGCCGCCTGGTCAGAGGGCCTCAGCCCCAACGCGATGAGCGGACACAGAAGGTGCCCACGGTTCCTTCCCTCTGTCCTTTGCTCAGCCTCTCGCTCATACATTCTGTACATATTTGTTGGGTCCCTACATAGTGTGACCAACCCTTTCCAGATGGCTGGGAACTTTCAAGGCATTAGGATGAAAGTCCCACACCCTGGAAAACCCCTCGCTCCCAAGCACACCACAAATCGGCCACTCTCTGATTTACAAGAAACGCCATCATGTTGCTACAGAAGTTGGTGATGACCGTGAGAAACTCATCTTCCAAGAGCTCATAAAGCATAAACATGGAATCGCGCTCTCCCTCGGGACCTTCAGGCTGAGCCACCCCTGTCGGACCTTACCCCGATGACCCCTAGAGGGTTACCGCAGGAAAATGCTCATCAGAATGTCTGACCTCACCTGACTGATGAAAAATCCAGAAACGGTGGGAGAGAGGACTCCTGAGAGTTGAGCAAAGACCAGCGACAGGCCCCTGAGAAAGCCAGTGTACCTGGGAGGAGAGAGACTCGTAAGCAAAGGTTAATCTCAGCCCATCTGCTGCAGTCCTGTGCTTGTCTCTGGCGTGGCCCGGAGATGTGCTGACCCTTCATCAAACCTGAGGGAGACGTACTGACCGGTGACTGCTACTATCCTGTGCCAAGGTCTGCAACACCCAAGGGGTAACCGTGCTAACTTGTCAATGTTGTTTATACAAAACATAGGATGGATGGTTTGGCCGAGTTTATATGTTCTCTTGGCTTCGGCTATGAAGTCTGACCTGGCAGCCCTGCTTTGGGGGATGCAAGACCCCTCGCTGCAAGACGTGGGCTCCCCTGAGACAAAGCGTCTCCCACATGCCTTGGTGGCCCTTCATCTGAAAATGGAGTGCGTCCCATTGACTGTGAAGGGACCATGGGAGCTACGCGTGGAAGTCTCGGTCATCCCCGACACTCCCCGGCGCTGGAGGTGAATGTCTCCCGTGACACCCGTGTCCTTCAGCGTCCTTCACCCCCGGTGAGCGCCCTGTGGCCCAGCCCTGTCTCACTGCTGCGTTTCCCCCGCAGGGAACAGCGGTGGACTAGCTTTGGGTTCCTTCCAGGAAGCATCTGGATGTAGGGCTGCTGCTGACACCTCCCGGGGCCTGTTCCACGTGCCACTCACATTTTGACCGATGGTCACGGCAGGTTTAGGGGCACTGGACCTGAGTTGAGCCCCTGTGGGGCACAACGGGGCGAGGGGCTCCTTACCTGGGAGCGATATCGATGAAGTTGACGAGGGCTCCTGCTTGGGAGAGGCTGCTGGTGGCGAAGCTCAGCACCAGGAAGGCCATGGTGATGCCGAAGCTGAAGCTGACCCAGGGCAGGAGCACGGAGAACACACTCGGGAAGAGAACCGCTGGGGCAGGAGGAGAGACAGAGGCCAGGACGCTGCCCCAAGCTCCCCAGGCCAGCCCCGGGTCCACCTGGGTCCTTACCTGTGGCGGTGAAGAGCCTCCTGACCACGATGAGCGTGAGGATTTCTCGGGAGAGAAGGAAGTCCGCTAACAGGCCTCCGAGGATGGTGCAGACAAAGGCCACGCCGAGCAGCAGGGCCGACAGGAAGCCGCTCTGGGGACCAGAGATGAGTGAGGCCGCGCCCAGCCCAGCGGGACACCGAGGGTCCCCGGCGCACTGCCTACCCTGGTGCCTCTCGACACCACCTGTAACACACTCTCAGGCCACTGCAACAAGCCAGTGTCACCTCTGAGCAAAAATGTGCACATAGGTCAGTGTGGGGAAAAGGGACAAGCGCTCCCTCCATACGTAAAGGTCACCTGGAAATAGGTGCTTAAAGGGACAAAGCCCAGCCCTGGCCGGGTGGCTCGGCTGGTTGGCGCATTGTCCTCTGCACCCAGAGGTTCTGGGTTCGATTCCCAGTCCAGGCACATGCCCAGGCGGCAGGTTCAACCCCTGGTCAGGGCGCACGTGGAAGGCCACTGATCGATGTTTCTCTCTCACGTCCCGTTTCTTTCCCTCTCTCTCCCTCTCTTTCTAAAATCAATAAAAACATATCCTTGGGTGAGGATTTTTTTTAAAAAAAGAACAAAACTCAGTACAAAAAATTTTAGGCAAAAAATAGGAACAGGCAATGGACAGAAAAACAAAAAACCACACGGCTCCCAAATGTATTGAAACATATTCTGAGTTATGCTAACACAATGGCCGCGAGACACCTTTGTTTGTGGATCCATCGGTTCTTTGCAACGTCTGTGGGGAGTCAGACAGGCGCCAACATCATTACTGCCCCACGGAGGGTGACAGTAAATACGTTTATACGGCACTAGCCCCCCGACTCGGACATGCAGGGATTTAAAAAATAGTTGGGCAGAGACTGGAAACAGCCCGCGTGTAGCTCTGTGAGGTTTCCCACGTTTGCTGACGTGAAAGATCCCCGTGGTCTAGTGTGTAAAGAACAGCAGCACATTCATGTGTTGTGTTTTGTGTAAAAAAAAAAAAAGTTGGGCAATGAGAACATCTGTGCATGCCCGTTTCTTGTAAATGGAAGAATTATACGAAATTAATAGAAAGCATTGTCTGAGGGGTGGGCTCCGAGACCGGGGCAGACGGGGCCAGAGCGGGAGAGGCTTTTCACTCTACACCTTTTTAATAGCTTTTTAAATGCTGGACTCTGTTCTTGTCCATTCAACTTCTAAATTAAAAAGGCAAAGGACACCGATGGGATGGATTTAGTCATGGGGTCCAAGTTGTTCATTTTATCAGAGTAAACCAACTACCACGGTGACGTGTCGTCAGAGGAAATACCCTGAGATCCACGGGGACCCGGGTCTGGGCTTCCCGAGCCAGGGAAGCCTGGTCTCAACGTGTCCCTGCAGCCGCCACCTCACCTCGGGCCTCCGAGGGTGGGGAGCCCACCGGCCTCACCCCTCACTCCTGGCTCCGTCGCCTGCTTCTGCCCCCCAGCAGGCCCACAGCCACCCCACCCTCGGGCTTCCTGGTCCCAGCACCTGCCCGTGTGCAGGCGTGTGCCCCAGACTCTGACCTCTGCTAACGTCGCTGTTTGCTGGCCGGTGAGCCTGTCGTCACCGGAGGAATCCGGTCAATGTGAGAACACTGCTTGTTGAGTACAAAAGGCGGGACTGTGGCTATAACTCAATGACCTTGTGAACCATGGCAAACAGGACGAAATCTGATGAGCTCCTCGCACTTCGAGGACACCCCCCTGGAGGGAACTGAGCGGCTCCCGTCAGCCAATCAGAGCACCCGGGCATTTGGGGGAGACTCAGCCCCACCCATCGGTGCTCCTTTCTCCACATGCGTGGGACTTGAATAAAGGACTTTTTTAAGAGCATTCCCCACAGGGCTTTGGTGTAAGTCCCACTGGGGCCTTCAGGTCCTGTCCATAATGTCCTGTCTCAGCCTCAGCCTCCCCGAAGGCGGAATTTGCTTTGTGAATCTTTATTCTTTCCGCCATCAGCAGAGTATCCTGTTTGCAGATGTCGATTGGATTGAACGCAGAATTTTTTCATTGACCCCTTAAAAAAAAATGACATCCCCTGAGTGTCAAGCTGGCCTAGAGCCATAGCATCCTGCCCCCAAAAAGCAGGAGGCCGCACTGAGGTGAGTCGGAACCCGAGCGGGTGCATTTCCACTTGAAGGCCCCAGGCCCAGGCCCCTGGCTTGATGACCCCGGGAGAGACGGGAGCTATATAAGGGGGCATTGAAACAGGAGAACAGGATGGACTTTCTCCGTACTTACATCTTTGAGGTCCACCTGAGGCAGAGAGTTGAGGTACGTGGGCAAATACGCCATCATGACGTAGAAATACCAGTGTTCGCTGAACTGAGACAGTAAAATGCTCCAGAGAGGCAGGGATCTGGCCATGGCCTTAATGGGAACAGACCTGTCAGGCGCACAGTCCTGAAAGAGAGCAGGTTTCAGTGTCCCCTCCACGGAGACACTGTGCTCCCAAGACACCCGCCCGGGGCCGGGAGGGGGCAGAGACGCCGCCAAGGCACCTGCTGAGCCAGCGAGCGTTGGATGTAGTCCCTCTCGCCACTGCTGATCAGCGGGTGGGCCCCGGGGTCGTCGTACACGAGGAGGAGCCAGAGGGAAGAGCAGGCACAGCCGATTCCACCTGGAAGACGACCCAGCTAGCACCCGGCTCGCGCTCTTTCCACCGGACTCCGCCCTGAGGGGGTCCCTGTGGCTGGCAGAGCCGCCCGGGCCCCTCCGTGCGTCTGTACGTCCGTGTGGCCTGATCGCAGGAGGAGGGTACTTCCCGCCACCTGACTTTGGCCTCGGCCATGTCACCTGCGTTGGCCAGTGGTGTGGGGGGCAGCTTAGAGCCTCGTGTGTTTGCCCCGTGTGCTTGAAAATGCCCTCGCGGTTCAAGTACCAGCAGGCATCTCCCCTGCTGCTCAGGCTTCTGCAAAGATCCATTCATCGGGCCCTGGCCAGGGTGGCTCAGTGGTTAGGGTGTCGGCCTGCACACCGAAGGGTCTCAGGTTTGATTCCCCGTCAGGGACACGTACTTGGGTTGCAGGTTCGATCTCTTACCCCGGTCAGGGTGCGTGTGGGAGGCGACCAATCGATGTGTCTCTCTCTCCCTCCTTCCCTCCCTCTCACTCTCTCTAAAAATCAAGAGAAAAGGTATCCTCGGGTGAGTATTAACAACAACAAAGAAGAAGACTGTATTAAATAAGTGCATCTAAAAATATAATCACACCAAGGTAACATTTTCAACAGCTTATGAAAGAAATTCCCCTGGCATCCTCTGTGGGCTCCGCCTGGAAGCGGGAGGGACTGTTATCCCGCCTTTACCTCATCGGGTTGTCGGACCTGAACCCTAAGTGTCACTGTGCAAAATTCACAACATGATTAGCTCTGAACACGATCAACTTCAGTTATATAAATATCCACATCTATTGGGATTTGGTTAATCACAGCTGATCTTGTATCACAGAAATCACACCCAGCACTCGCTGTCCTAAAATAACATTCTGAGATTTGAGAAAAGCGTAAACTCACCAAAGATGTAGAAGACGTACGGCCACCCTAGGGTCTCGCAGAGGAAACCACCGACGAGGAGGACGGTTAAGGAGCCCAGCATTAACCCTGAACACAAGCGGCGAGGACGCTCCGGGTGAGGCCGGGCCCGGGACGCTGAGCCTCCCGCAGGCTGACCGCATCCCAGAGCTAAGGTGCACAGGGGTGAAAGCTCCGAGGCTCAAGTCCTGCCTCTTCCCGCAGTGTCCGTGTGACCCTGGGCAAGTCATTTGTCTATTTGTGTCTCAATTTGCCGTATGTGCAAAATGAAAATGAGTTTTAAGATAAATTAACGTGCAAAGCATTGATAAGGATTGTTCTGCACCGTGAGTGTGCAATTATAATCGAGAAAGAAAGTGTAGCCCTGGCGGGTTTGGCTTGGTGGGTAGAGCGTCGGCCTGAGGACTGAAGGGTCCCAGGACATGCACCTCAGTTGCAGGCTCGATCCCCGGCCCCGGTCAGGAGTGGGTGGGAGGCAACCAGTCGATGTGTCTCTCTCATCGATGTTTCTCTCCCTCTCTCTCTCCCTTCCACTCTCTCTGAAAAGCAACGGAAAAAATATCCTCGGGTGAGGATTTAAAAAAAAAAAAAAAGCTAGTGCAGGTCAGTGTTTCGAGCAAGGACGCAGGGAGGAGGTCCCGTGTCTGCGGACAGGTCCTTGCGAGGTGCTCGTGGACAAGGTGACAACAGAGATAGCGATTACCTGAGACAGAAATGGTGATGAGCTGGTTCCTTTCCAACGGGGGAGCCCACTTCACCCAAATTAAATACTGACTTATTTGTATCATAACCTGGGGGGAAGACAAAAGTCCCGCTCTTGGCACCTGAGACATGTAGAATCCAAAGTCCGCTCGTGCTTGGAAAGGGCCTCGGTACCTGGGCTACGCCTTGGACGACCCGAATGAGGATCAGTAAGGCCACTCCGGCGTCGGCGGCCAGCGGGACAAAGAGGCTCAGGACGGAGAAAAGCAGCATCGCCGTGCCGACCAGGTACTTGGCTCCCAAGATCGCAGCCACATAGCCACCGGGGACGGACGCCAAGAAGGAGCCATAGTTGAGGGCGCTGAGGACGACCCCCTGGATTCCGGGGCTCCAGTCATACGCGGACGCCTGGGTGACAAAGACAGACCTGCTGTTTATCTTCGGTGAGAGAACATTTTTATTGTGACAGCTTGAAAGGTGAGAAAATAATTGACAGTTTTCTTCTGCCCTCTCCAGTTCCTCCAGCCTACCGGTTTCATCGAGAAAACCTAAATATGCAGGGCGTCCCCCCAAAATATACACGCACTTTGAATGACTGTAAAAAGTCCGTGTTTATTGACATACGGTTCATCTGCAAATTTTAAAAGAATCTACAGAAATGAATAATGTTTTTAGTCAACGCCTGTTTTCAGACAGATGACCGTTCTGGTCCAGGCCCCGCCGGTAACCGGAAGCAGCGGCCTCACCGACATCGAGAGTCATCTCGCCCTCAGTGTGTCAGCTGTTGCCGGTTTTGTGCCATAAACCTTTTCTTTTATGTGTCCCCATTAAAGAAAAAGCCTAGTGGCCCTTTAGGATAAGTTTTCTTTGTTCAACGTTTAGTCTGGCATCACCCATTATTTCAAATCAGTTAAACCTGAAAAGGAGTGAAAACTGAGTTATCAGCTGTTCAAGTGAGTGCACATGTTTCCGGGACGCCCTGTATGTGCCCAGACACCCTTTCCCCTCACACAGTGTCCCAGCTGCACAAGGACCTGAGCAAGTAAAATGAAAGTGAGCCTGTAAAACAAGTCACCACAGGCAAGGGGTAAAAATACCCAAAGGAAGAGAAAGTAGATACAACTTTGTGAAACTTATTTTGTGGTCAGGAATTTATTTCCAATAAACGGTAAACTCCCGAATTCTAACTTAGTCCTTGGTGCCACGTATGGTCCCTAAGTAAGGAAACAGCCTCCTTACTACCTGTTACATTCTTGTGATCCATAGTTCCTTGAACATAGTAGGTGCTCAATAAACAACCCTTCAGGTCAGGCCATTTACGTCACAGAAAGGGGCCCAAGTCCTGCTGAACTTACCACCACCTTCGGTTCCGTCAGCGTTTCATTCCAGTTGTCCAGGGAGCCGGCGGGAGGCCCGTGGGTGGAGGCGTTGGGCGGGCCGGGCAGGGCTGTGCTGTTCACCATGGCTGGGATGGCAATGCTCAGGCTCATTTGTTGGGTGGAAATTGTAAAATTACAGAGATGCATGGTGAGGGCCACCCCGTGTCGGACCGAACAGAAGCCTGAGATGAGAGGGCACAGAGGGTCTTATCATCAGGGTACTTTTCTGCCCCCCCTTTCCTAAGTCTGGGAGAGGGAGACCGTTGCCGTTGGTCTGGCAGACAGCTGTCGCCCTGGGGGCCGGGGAGGGGACATAACCCCCTCAGAGCCATCACTGGAGCGGAGGCCGGAAGAACGGTGGACGGGCCAGGGCAAGCGCCAGTGGTCATTTTCCTGCTAATTCCATTTTCACTCTGAAACGACACATTTCCCTTCAGTCCCCTTTCTCGGCTATATCGCGTTGTTCCGTCCTGCCTTCCTGCTGATTTATTTCATACGCTCTAAGCTTTTTTATTATTATTACTCCTGAGAACTTGAAGACATTGGAAATAAAACTGTTCTTCAATTTTCCCAGATCTAACGAGCGCAGAGGTGTGTGTAATGATTAACAATCGGACGGCTCTGGTTTGAACCCACGTGACGCCCCTCTGTGCCTGGGAGACTTAAATGAGTTATTTAATCCCTGCACCCTGGGATTCTCATGCCTGTAAAACAGCGATGCTGCTGGTAAACCTTCAGGGTTTATTGCACGAAATGAAGTAATTCTCAGTAAACAGTCTATAGAGCTCTATGGAATTCCTGGCAATGGGTGGGAGCAAGTCGACCACCAGAAGGGAGTCAAGGTGACCGGATCCCGGCCTTATCCACAAGTAGCGCACGATCTCACCTTTGCCGGAGGCCGGCGTGGGAGCCGAGTTTACGTCAGCAGCCCTGGGAAGATCTCCCACTGTGGCCTTGGCTTCGGCTCTAGTGGACATTTTGGCCCTTGTCTCCCAGGGTCTGGCGTTTACCTGCTGAAATAAAAGGTTGCACAGCAAATACAGAGAAAGAGACGCGTCCTATGTGGCCCATGGCACTGCCCCCGTTCTTCCAGGAATTTGCAGGAAATGTTTGGTGGGAAAAGTGCAAGATTAGGGTTCAGGACCTGGCGAGCCCTCCAGACTCTGCTTCTGGCCAATTGTGTGGCCTCAGGAAGGTCAACACCCTGGGTCTCAGTTTCCGCTTCTCTAAAACAAGGGATTTGGCTTGATGGCCTCAAGGGTCTCTTTCCTCCCCACCCCGCGTTTCCCTGTCTCTCAACTCGCATCAGTATGGACTGGATGTTAAAACTTGACAATCTTCTGTGAAATTTCATCCAGGAGATTCCAGTGGATTAAATTACCCTCAAACACTGTCTGTTTTAAATGTCTAGATATAGTAAATAAAATATAGGAGACAGCTTTTTAAATACATAGCCCCCCAAATAGTCACAGCCCCGCGGATGGAATGAAAAGTTGGAGGCATAAGCTAACTTTTCAGTGACCCTGGGTGGGCCCTTTTAGAGAAAGTTTGGAGTTTTGTGCATTTCATCGGACCGGACCTATTAATTATACATGAGATTATTTGGAGGCTGTTTACTCTCTGAGAATGACCGAGAAGGTAGGGGGTTGGCAGACGTAAAGGGGGGTGGGGATGGGGCCGGAGTGGCCGGCAAAATAAAATCATTTCCACTTCCTGCCTGCGGGGTTCTACTTGTGTTAATACGAAGGCGACCACCTGTCTTAATGAGGTTGTCTTTACCCAAGAGGAAGGACTGCACCACGTCTGCGCATCGCCCCGAGGTTGCCAAGCCTCACTGCTTACGTAGTTTGTACTAACACAGAAGTTAGACCCAAGAGCCCTCCACGTGCCTCCGAATTCAAAAACCAACTGAAAATTGAATTTCCACCCAAATCAACACTCACCGGCTAAACGGAGCGGCTCTGGGGACGCTGAGGGGAAACCGCCGAATGAAGGCAGGACACTCGGCTGTAAAAGGGGTCAGCTTATCGCGTCTGCCCTCACCTCGGAATAGCCGAGTGCAGGCTCATTTCAGAGTGACATTTCCCCAGGGCTGTACCTGCCAGGACGCCCCCAGCGACCCCGGGCCTGCGAGTTCACCGGCCCGCTCGGCCCATTCACTGGCCGGCCGCTATCCGCTGCACCAGCCCCGCCCGCTCTGCCCCTTCTCCGCATCTGGGCCTGCAGGGCCCAGTCCTCGGGACTGAATGCCAGCGTTCTGGTGCCAGGTGCCTGGCCCGGAGCCCAGGCTGCAGGCCTGGCCCACACCAGCTGTGTCTCCCTCCACCTTCCGTGGGAAACACCCAGGAGGCGCCGGGATGAGAGGGGAGAATGAAGAACGACGCTGGCTGTGGGGCCCCGGGAGCAGCCGGACTGTGACGGGCGCCGCGCGTCGTGAGGAGAGGGCAGCAGCTGCCCGAGTCTGCGTCCCCGACCGCCTGAGACAGTTCCCGTGGAGCCGAGCCCAGGAGGGCGAGGAGGGGCAGCTCCGAGCCAGAGCCTTTCTCCCCGGCCCAGGAGCCGGTTTCCCGGTGCGGCCGGTGCAGGGTGGGGAGCAGGCTGGGGGGGACACGAGACCCACGCGGCGGTCGAGGGGCCTCGCTGCGGAGGGCCCTGCAGCCAGGCAAGGGGCCTGGATGTGCCCCGACCGCTGTGTGCTGCGTGGTCTACGACGGACACGACTGGGGCCCAGGAGACGCCGGAAGAGCCCTCGCATCCACCGGGCAGGAGCTGGCGTCGGGCTGGGCTGGTCATGGGGCAGAAAACCAGGCTGGAGGCCTGAATGGGGTCCCGCTCCGTGCAGAGGAAATGAGTGGGCTTCCAGAAGGAAAACGGGAATTTGGTTTTGGACACGAGGTGCCTGTCAGGCCCAGAAAGGGCGCCTGCCAAGTAGACGCTGTGCCTGTGGATCTGTAGCTTGGGACGGAGGGCCCGGGTGGAAAAGCAAATTCGGAAGTCATGGGTCTTGCCGCTTTCTTTAGGGACCAGGCAAGTGAGGAAGGGCCAGCAGAGAGACTGGACCAGTCATGTTTCTACCCAGCTCCTGTCCGTTTTCTGGCCAGGACAGGCTGTGTCCGTTCCCTTTGCAGGAACACAGTCCCCGCTCCTCTCCGCGAGCTCACTGTGGATGCCTCTCCGTACGGGGTCTCGCAGAGTATTAATCATTCACATGCATCTACCGGGTCTCAGCCCTGAGCGTCTCCTGCACATAAGCAGCAGCTCACGGCTCCTCTTCACGGCCCCAAATAAAAGTCGTCTGCCCCAAACCCTTTACTCATTAACTACCTTCCAGAGCCATGCGGGCTTTCATTTTGTTTGTTTGCCCGTGGATTCCGGCGATTCCATAAATTCATTGGAACAGTCTGATCTGTTCTGATTTATCTTTTCACCCTGATGGAAATCTTCCTCTGCCAGAAATCTGTGTTTGCATGTATTGTCTCAGCACAGATGTGATCAGTGCTTTAAAAAATACACACATGCCCGGCTGGCGTGGCTCAGCGGTTGAGCGTCGGCCTAGGATCCAGGAGATCGCAGTTCGATTCCCGGTCGGGGCACATGCCCAGTTGCGGGCTCAATTCCCCAGTAGGGGGCGTGCAGGAGGCAGCTGATCAATGGCTCTCTCATCATTGATTTTCTCTCTCTCTCTCTCTCTCTCTCCCCCCCTTTCTCTGAAATCAATAAAGACATATTAAAACACACACACACACTATTGCTAAAACATCCCACCCAAACAAGTCCAGTATATGAACCTCAAGCTGCAGGTCATCTAATCTACCTCCAATATTTGGGTGATATTAACCCTTAAAAGTAGATAGTTTAAAATCACGGGCTGGCTACAGATGTTGTGGACAATTCAGACTCTCTGCAGCGACCCTTCCCGATGGCTCTGTTCCCTGCAGTTTTGTTCCCTGAGGTTCTGGGGCTCTCATTTCTTTTAGGAAAAGGCAGCATCTTCTGTCACTTTTCAGAATTATCTCAGGAAAGACGAGCTCTCTTCCCCACCCCACCATCTCTACCCCAAAACAGCAAACCAAGGGGCTCTCGATGGGGAGAAGACCCATTCCCAGTATCGCAAAAGCAGAGCATTACGGGCAAGAGACTGAAAGCTAACCTGAGGGAGGTAGAGTGCAGGGTCCTCATTCCTTTCCAATAAATTCCCCCAAACTTCCCAAGTCTTTTACTCCCGGAGAAGTAAATGATTACCCCAAACCTTTAGACCTTGTTACGAAATGGATAGGTGTTACTGGCTCGACGGTTTAATTTTTAACATTACTTCTATAGTTTAATTAACAAGTAGATCAAGTTCATTAAATCTTCTTCATGCGTCACACCCAGAAGAGATCAAGGTCCCTTCTCACAGGAGCCCGACAACCACACTCCCTGACGCTGGTGCCGTCACCTTGGGGAGTCTCTGCGGGTCAGTAAATTCTCTGAGAATTTGAAGACAGAGGGCAGGTGCTTAATTCAAGGAACAAATGATTCTCGTAAACTCATTTATTCTCAGCTACCCAGTTATGTCACTTCTCCCAGTCCTATGCTAATTCTCCTAAAGACCTTTAACATTTTCTTTACATTAATACGCTTTTTTTGTTTGTCCCAAATTTCTGTAGATTTTGTATGTGTGATAATTTACAGGTCTATGGGTTACATTGTTTTCGCTCCTAGCCTTAACAGTAATGTATTGGAATTTCTGTTTTCAGTTATTTTTTGAGATGTTTTCTCTAAATACGGTGCGATAAATAACTGCTTGGAAAAAATTCCTTGACTAATATTTCGGAATATATCACAAAACGTCATCAGATGATGATGAAACAGACCATTAACAGGAAACGTGTAGGTATGAGGTCATGGAGCCTCAAATTTGTTTTAAAAATTTAACAAGTGGTTGAAAATTTAATAAAATAACATAAAAAGTAAATGATAGGCTTGAGAAGGGATATTGTTGATTGTGACATTTTCAAGTCACTACTCCTATTTGAAATTTTGGTGTGAAATTTGTATATTGTATACATCCAGTTTTGTTTACTGGAAAAAAATAGACTAATTACCATTAAGTCAATATTAAAGTTCCTGGTATCAAAAAAGATAGCACCTCTTCATTGAATAATGGACTTCAGGACATTTTAATGGAAGGCGATGAAATAAATTATTTATATACCACTGGTATACTTATAGTGTGCTCACTTAGCATGCTTTCCTCATTAGATATTCTCACATTTCCTCAAAAATGAGACACTTTCATAATCTGGAATGACTTTATTAGCTATAGATTTATCTTTTCCTTAAATGTCTAAGAGCATAGATTTAGAAGCCTGATTTTTGAGGATGGCAGCTCATTGCTGACCTCAATTTTTTCCCTCATTTTAGTTCTTACTGCTTTCTAGGTTCAACTTAAACCACTTATATTTTTTAGAAACACGTATTTCATTAGTTTTTAAAAATTTGTTGACATAGGTAAAAAAACTCATAATTTCAAAACATCCATTTTATAGGTTTAAATATAATTTTATAGACACAGTATTAAGATAATTCTAAACTGTGAATGTTGTAGGAATTTTGTAGTTTGTTATGAATGTGCAGATTTTTGTTTTGCTTTGCATTGTTTGGAGAATTTCGATGGTTTCATTTTTGTACAAGAACTTTGTATTTGGCTGCTTTCCTGTTTGTCAGTTGTTTCTGGGTGTATATTTGTACTTAGTGCTAAAAGGAGCACAAAATATTTTGCTTCATTTTCAGTGGTTCAATCTCTTTAAGAATTCTGCCCAATATTCCCAAATAGAAAGCTGTCTTGTCACATGACTGACCCAACTATACTATTACCCTACCATCAAAATGGTATTAAAAGCTTGAGATGTAACCTCTGGACTAAGAAACCTATTACTCATTTTTATAGCTCTTCATGTAAATATTTATATGGGCCTTTTATCTCTCGGCTCATCAGGGACCAGGCTGCAGACTCCGGGATGTGACGCCACCCAGCACTGGCAGGAAAGCCGGCTGCCGCGCCGGAGGAAACGCCGTGTGGATGCGCCGGGGCCGCCAGCGGCTTGGCGGGCACCTGTCCTCTCTCCAAGCAAAAGAGCTGAGCCCAAAGCTGCCAGTTTCCAAATCTCCTTCCTTCCTAACCTGCTCGTTTAGTCTGGCCCTACTCTCACTAAAACACTAACCAAGTGAGGAGCCCACGTTGTTGCTGTTTCCCCCGAGTTATGTAGTCACAAAACTCCTATTCTACGCTGGTTCCTTCTCCCAAGAAGCGCCCTTCGCCGCCAGGGGCTGCGGGGCGGCTGCCTCGTAGCAGCAGCTCTACCCACGGCCACGGCTCCACTGTCAAGCTTGTTGCACGTTGCAACTCCCGAGGCCTGTTACCCGAAATAGATAATAGTTTGGGTCCCGGTGGTTTAGGACCTGTGGTCAACCGCTCTTAACGGTTAACCAGTTACTGCCTTGCCGTAGCTCTTTCTCAGACATTGTGAGTGGCTCTGAAAAGAGCCTTTGGTTCCCGTCCTTCCTCTCCAGGGGCTCAGGTCACTCAGCTCAGGTCACTTGCTCAGGTGGTGGCTCTCGGTCTTCCTGGGCAGCAGCACGGCCTGGATGTTGGGCAGGACGCCGCCCTGCGCGATGGTGACCTTGCCCAGCAGCCTGCTGAGCTCCTCGTCGTTGCGGATGGCCAGCTGCAGGTGGCGCGGGATGATGCGCGTCTTCTTGTTGTCGCGGGCCGCGTTGCCCGCCAGCTCCAGGATCTCGGCCGTCAGGTACTCCAGCACGGCCGCCAGGTACACGGGCGCGCCCGCCCCGACCCGCTCCGCGTAGTTGCCGTTGTGGAGCAGGCGGTGCACGCGGCCCACGGGGAACTGCAGCTGCGCCCTGAAGGAGCGAGCTATGGCCTTGGCGCGAGACTTGCCGCCCTGCTGACTCTGCTCACACATGACAACGATGGACACCACGAAAAAAGAGACTCTTCGGACAAATGCACGGCCAATTTATAGTCTGCCANGGCCTATTTATAGTCTGCCAGTATGTTGNGGACAAATGCACGGCCAATTTATAGTCTGCCAGTATGTTGTGACTCGGCATCTGATTGGCTGACTCGTGGATGCCTATCCAATCAGAAAACAGAATTGGAATCACCTAATTTGCATACACGTCACTACCCACTAGCCAATCAGATGTCAGCTGCCCAGAGTGGCCGTTGGGTGCCACCCTATAAATAGCAGGTTTTGAGGCAGCAAACTGCTGTTCTCTGACCTGTGTCCCTTGGGACTGAGCACTCACCATGCCGGAGGTGGCTTCAAAGGGCGCCACTATTTCCAAGAAGGGCTTCAAGAAGGCGGTGACGAAGACGCAGAAGAAGGAGGGGAAGAAGCGCAAGAAGTGTCGCAAGGAGAGCTACTCGATTTACATCTACAAGGTGCTGAAGCAGGTGCACCCCGACACCGGCATCTCGTCCAAGGCCATGAGCATCATGAACTCCTTCGTCACCGACATCTTCGAACGCGTCGCGGCCGAGGCGTCGCGCCTGGCGCATTACAACAAGCGCTCGACNCTCCGCTCTGACCTGGGTAGGAGTCGAGTCATCCAGAGGGGCCCTCTTTATAGCGGTTCCAGGGCGCGAAAGTGAATCTGTGCCATTGGCCAAAAGTTACAGCCGGTTCACTTCAACCAATGGGATCCTGGTTCTGAAACACACTTATTTTGACTGGACGACATTCATGTGACGTTTCCAGGAGTTACCGCCAGTCAGACACGACTTTACTCACCGGCTCCTTTAAGAGGCTGGGAACCCAGAGGACGCTCGCAGCTTTCCAAGCGTTCTTCCCATTATTTAGCAGTTTGTTCGGCGGTTTGTCGCGACCATGCCCGAGCCGGCCAAGTCCGCGCCCGCCCCGAAGAAGGGCTCCAAGAAGGCGGTGACCAAGGCGCAGAAGAAGGACGGCAAGAAGCGCAAGCGCAGCCGCAAGGAGAGCTACTCGGTCTACGTGTACAAGGTGCTGAAGCAGGTGCACCCCGACACCGGCATCTCGTCCAAGGCCATGGGCATCATGAACTCCTTCGTCAACGACATCTTCGAGCGCATCGCGGGCGAGGCGTCGCGCCTGGCGCATTACAACAAGCGCTCGACCATCACGTCGCGGGAGATCCAGACGGCCGTGCGCCTGCTGCTGCCCGGCGAGCTGGCCAAGCACGCCGTGTCCGAGGGCACCAAGGCCGTCACCAAGTACACCAGCTCCAAGTGAAACGACTCTGCCAACGGATGAGCTTTAACCCAAAGGCTCTTTTAAGAGCCACTTAACGTTTCCTGAAAACAGCTGTCTTGTTACTGAGCTGACGTTTCCTGTGGGACGTTCTATTAAGTGGAAGGAGGCTTTAGTTAAACAGTAGTTCTTAACGCTATGGGATTAAGCTATGGCGTGATGCTTAAAGGAGCTGGTTGTGGACACTGCCCCCCAGTGTCCCCAAGTTTCTTCATAGACCTAATAGGCTACCAGCATTTGTCTTGAGTGCCCTGAAGGTCTCTGCTAATTGTCAGGAGCAGTTCTCCAAGGGGAGAATTGGCAATCCGTGTGCGTGTGGATGTTTCCCGGAGATGACAGTGACCATAGGGACGTAGCGGGCCTTTTTATAAATCCTTCCAGAAGACAGCCTGACGCTGTGGCAAGAGCTTGGGACTTCAGGAAGCAGTGCTGTACCTGAGCTGGTCCTGTAGACCAGCCTGCCTGTGCTCAGGTACTGATTTCAGTTACTCAGGGTTTCTGAGTCTGAGCGCATGACCTAGCAATCGTGGTCCCAGGATTTTACTCAACTGACTTGCAAATTAGAACTGATAGTACGATTCTGAGTTCAAATAGGCCAAGTTGCCTCTATTCTGCTTGAAACTATTAAATGTGAACCAAATTAATTTGGCAAATAGTATTTTACTAGCTAAACTAGCTAATGTTAATGTAGTGGCAAGACCTAGCCCCATACATTGACAAAAAATGATACAGCCCTTTAGGAAACGTAAGTGGCTCTTAAAAGAGCCTTTGGGTTAAAGCTCATCCGTTGGCAGAGTCGTTTCACTTGGAGCTGGTGTACTTGGTGACGGCCTTGGTGCCCTCGGACACGGCGTGCTTGGCCAGCTCGCCGGGCAGCAGCAGGCGCACGGCCGTCTGGATCTCCCGCGACGTGATGGTCGAGCGCTTGTTGTAATGCGCCAGGCGCGACGCCTCGGCCGCGACGCGTTCGAAGATGTCGGTGACGAAGGAGTTCATGATGCTCATGGCCTTGGACGAGATGCCGGTGTCGGGGTGCACCTGCTTCAGCACCTTGTACACGTAAATCGAGTAGCTCTCCTTGCGACACTTCTTGCGCTTCTTCCCCTCCTTCTTCTGCATCTTCGTCACCGCCTTCTTGAAGCCCTTCTTGGAAATAGCGGCGCCCTTCGAAGCCACCTCCGGCATGGTGAGTGCTCAGTCCCAAGGGACACAGGTCACAACAGCAGTTTGTGGCCGAAAGCCTGCTATTTATGCGGTAGCACTCAACGGCCACTCTGGGCAGCCGACATCTGATTGGCTAGTGGGTAGTGACGTATATGCAAATTAGGTGATTCCAGTAATGCTTTCTGATTGGGTAGGCATCCACGAGTCAGCCAATCAGATGCCGAGTCACAACGTACTGGCAGACTATAAATAGGCCCCCCGTGGCGTGGGTTTTGGTTAGTTTCCGTTGTCACTACCACCATCTGAAGTCATGTCCGGGCGCGGGAAGCAGGGCGGCAAGGCGCGCGCCAAGGCCCGGTCTCGCTCCTTCAGGGCGCAGCTGCAGTTTCCTGTTGGTCGGATCCACCGCCTGCTGCGCAAGGGCAACTACGCGGAGCGGGTCGGGGCCGGCGCGCCCGTGTACCTGGCGGCCGTGCTGGAGTACCTGACGGCCGAGATCCTGGAGCTGGCGGGCAACGCCTCCCGCGACAACAAGAAGACGCGCATCATCCCGCGCCACCTGCAGCTGGCCATCCGCAACGACGAGGAGCTCAACAGGCTCCTGGGCGGCGTGACCATCGCGCAGGGCGGCGTCCTGCCCAACATCCAACCCGTGCTGCTGCCCAAGAAGACCGAGAGCCACCACAAGGCCAAGGGCAAGTGAGGACCGCGCACGTCAAGAGAAAACCAACGGCTCTTTTCAGAGCCACTCACCCATCAATGAAGGCTGCGCACACTGTGAAAGGCTGTCCGTGTGCTGTTTGGTGAGCGTAGAAAACCATAGCTCCCTGGGGACAACCTTTGGTCCTAATAACGGGCCCTTTAAAGTTTAAGGGACGCGTGGCTGGGAGCAAGAGCTGGCGGGCCCAGAGGCGCCCGGCGGGATGTGCTTTGGTAGCTGCAGCAGCTCCAAGCTTGGTCCCTGCAGGAGTCCTGGGGAGGGAGGAAACTTTCTCTAGCATTACAACCCTCGCTCCCGAGTTCATGCGAACAGAAGCCCTGCTCTGAGGCTTATGAGATAAGTGAAGATTGGGTTAGAATAAGCACAGTCTTGCAGCTTCCAGCCTGTAGGACATAAGTCAAACAAGGCTGCATGACTTCCTCCAAGTAGCTCCTAGAGAGGAGTTCCCCTTCCAACAAGCTAGTACAGTCCACGTGAGGTCTTTAGGCCTGACATGCGGGTAAGCCAAGAGTTAGAAAGCAAGTCAATCTCAACACTGGGTAAAGGGTTTCATATCTGAGTATTTGACACCTGCAACTTCACACACATGCTTAGTAAATAGAATTTTCTAAAAATGTAAAAATGTATCTAAAAAATGATGCCTACCAGATGTGGAGAGATGCTAACGTCACTCTCAGAGGCTGCAATGTGGCAGGTTCTTCCATCATCTTTTTTAAATTAGGGAATTTTGGTCATTTCCAGAGGTTTAGCTACAAAAAAAAAAAGATACATAGTTTTAGTGTCTGTTAGCAACTGCAAATTCCAAGTGAAATTGGAAAAATGAATACTTAGGCTGTCAAATATAAAAATTACTGTACAATAGTCAACAGTTTACCTTATCTCAAAGAAAAAGAACCTCCTTGGTTATCTAAAACAAACATTGCTAGACACACAAGATTTACACAGACAGCTATAGAAGCAGACGTGAATAAAAGTGTGAAGTCCTATAAGAAGTTAAAGATCGGCCCTGCCGGTTTTCCTCGATGGTTAGAGTGTCAGCCCCATGGACTGAAGGATCCCAGGTTGGATTTTGGCCAAGAGCACTTACCCCTGTTGCAGGCTCAATCCCCAGGGCACAAATCAGTATGTCTGATGTGTCTCTCTCCCATCAATATTTCTATCTCTTTAAAAAATCAAAATATATTTTTTTAAGTTAAAAGTTATTGCGCAGCAAATAGTTTATTCGAGAATAGCAGAGGAATTGCAATTCTGGACAAGCAAAATATGGCAAACCACAGGCCAGTCTGTAGAACAAAGGAGAAAAGCTTTCTTTTATAGAGGAGGGAGGGGGGTGTGAACAAATTTCACTGGAGGAAAGAGGGTTCGAAGTGGTGGCAGCTTCTCATTGGCCCCTAATCCAATGACAGCTGTCCTTACGAACAGGGGATGTTTGGACACAGACACAGACGTGTGCACAGGGAGAGATCCATGTGGAGATTGGGGTAGTGCTTCCACAAGCCCAAGAGCACCAGAAAGAGCCAGCAAACCCCCCACCCTTGAGTTCCTAGCAAGGCTGGGATTTGGGTCCAGCACTTCTGACCCCAGTTGTAGTGCTCTTTTCCCGAAAGGCCAGCTGTCACCGTTCCTGATGGGAAGCAACCACTTCCATCTGCTTCTTGGAGGAGGTGGGCTCTGAGCTGTGCTTGATGACGAACGTTTGATATGTGGGAATGGTGGTGGCACAGGAGCAAGGACGTCTCCAGGCCAGTCTGGCTGGGACAGAGAACCATACAGGAAAACACCGGGTTGAAACCTTTGCACATCCTGAGTATCACAAATGTGATCTTCCAGTGGGTTGTAAATCTGCTGGAGATAAACGCTGTAGCCAGTATGGAGCCATTTAACATCTTTGTGAACCTGAGGGTGTCAGCAATCAAAGGTCAGGCTTCCATAGCAGCCAGTTCTTCCCTTGGCAGGAGGGGCAGTGGGCACAGAGAGGGGCTGGGGGGTCCCCCTCATCCTGGTCATGTAAGCAGCCACCTGTCCCTTGAGAAGGTTACCTGGTCTTCAAATATTAGGAATGATCTATGGTGTTCAGAAGACCACTCTATGGACCTAGTTAAGGTAAAAATATTAGGGAAACATCTGGAGAAAACGTTTTCTTTTCAGGAACAACTGGATATAATCTCATTTGTGTGTGGGGGGGGGAGAATCCCAAAAAAATGAAAAGTAAAATATTTTTTAAATGTTCAAGGGATTGGCAAAAAACAAAAAAAGAGACTTGGGTCGAATTGACTTTGGGATACCCAAATTAAAAATCACAGGTAGAGCTGGCTGGTTTGGTTCCATAAGAGATCTCGACAGTGACCTTTTCAGGTCCAGAAGACGCTGAGCAGACAGGAAGAGGTGACGCAGCCAGACCAATGCTTTGCTCATTTATCTGCTCTGGACTCAGAGGTTTTTCTACTGAGAATCTACATCTGTTCAAGTTCGTCACCAACCGCAGAGCAGGTGGCCCAGGCCCGCCGGCCCCTGGTGACGGCGTGCTTGAGCTAATTGCAAGCTGCCCTCTTCGGCAGCTGTTTGATCATGTGCTGCCCTTTCCAGCCCTGGCTTAATTGGGGGTTAGACGCATGCTGCCGTCCTGACACGAGCCGAGAACCGCGCTCAGATAGCCACCCTGCAGAGCGGCATTGTTAGCAAGAGTAACACTTGCCTGCAGATCACTGTAATTGTGCACGTGGTCATCAGTGCTGACTCAGAATGATGCAGATTTATAAAAAAGACCCAGAGTGTGTGCCCAGCAAGGACTCCCCACAAACCACTCTCCCCTCCCCTTCCACATGAACAACAGTATTCTCTCGGGGCTCCCACCATCTGCACTCACAGAGCCAGGGGCGTCTAGGAGACAGTGGTCACTCTATTTGGGTAGACAAGAGAGCGCTGCCACATTATTTAAACTGAAAAAATGTTCATCTCGAGACGGTGGGACGGAGCCGGACTCTCGGGAATGTGAGGGTCTCAAGGCTCGCAGGCGAGGCCGGCCCCCCGTAAAGCAGAGGAGACCACTTGCTCACTTCCGAGGGCTGGGAAGGCCACAATTCTCCAAAATTATTCTTTCCACTGATCTCAGGATCTGAAACACCCTGAGCCAGAGACAAAGCTGCTCACATCAGCAGGAAGAAACGAGGTTTCTAAACCCATAATCTCACGGAAACGTTCCTGCAACCTCTGAGCTCATTCTTTCCAGGATTCCTACTGTGCACAAAGTTTAGAGAAGTTAAATCACATAGCTAATTATGTGGCAGGACAAACCAGGACAAACCCAGTATATTATGGTGGGGGGCAGCCCGGGGATGCGGTGCGGGGGTGCTGTGTGCGGGGCTGCGGCCCTTGGGGTGCATCGTGTCTCAGGGCGCCTGAGAACCAGGAAGGATTTCTGGGGTGGATTCCGTTAGGATCTTACCCTCCCCTCCTCCCCCCAGCTCGAGTTAGAGAAGGAGTTCATTCGGGCGTCAGACCATCGGAGGGAACATCTGTCTCAAAGGTCTCAACACAAACACAGCCTCCAGCGCCTCTTGGTTTGCAGGGGCAGGTTTATTTCCAGGTCGGAATCTACCCGCGGACGGCGCAGGACCGTGAGGCGCGCAGCT